GGATGTTTGCTCAGGCTTTCTCCTCCGAGCTTCTCACAAGCACCGCTTTCTATATGCACCCGAAGGTTTTGCCATCGGTAGAAGGACCTCAGGCAAAGCTGGCAGCGAGGAAGGCCGCCGCACGCGTGAATCCGGGGCACAAACTTGACAGGTGTGCTGGCAGCACGTGGTGGCAGAAGCTTGTGGGCCACCTGACAGTGGATTCTCATGGCATTCTCAGTGACGAACATGGCATCACACTCTGGGCATGGTATCTGCGGAGTTTCAGGCTCAGGCGGGGCATCATCATGCTCCGCTTGCTGCGCAATCAGAGCCTGTAAGGAGGCAACAAGTTGCTGCACATGCGCCAAAATGCACTCCTGCGTGGTGATGTCAGGGGAAGCAACGGCCTTGATCAGCAGATTCTGCTGAAAGCGCTGAAGCGCCGTCAACAGCAGGCTGCCAGGCATGTCAAGGCCCGCCTGGGTCCAAATGTCGCGATTGGGAATGCGTGTGACGTGCGCTGGCTGCTTTTGAATGGCTCTCAAGTGCTTAGTGCAGGCTTTAGTGAGGCGCTCAAGGCCGTGCTTGGTAATGCCCACTGCTGACAGCGAGTAAAGCATACTAGTGGACACACACGCCAACCAAAGCCGAGTCCGGTGATGAATTGTTAAATGGTGTTTACCATTCAAGGGCTTGCGCAGGGCAATGTACTTGGCCTGGCCAGCCTGTACACGATGCGCAAGATTTTTGTCAAGTCGGTGCTGGTAAGTGACTTTGGTGCCTAAATATTCATGTTCATCTTTGACGGGGATGAGCTGTTCCTCGCCGTGAACAGTGATGACAAGATGCCTGACACCATTCTTGAGGCGGGTGTGTTCATGCAAGATCGCCTTAGCTTGTTTGCCTTCAAGTCTTACCAGTATGGCAGTTTTCCGATAGTTTATGGACATTTTGAAGGTGGTAAGGGTCTCAAGCACAACAACAAGCTCATTTATGGCATCGTCCCAATCCTTCTTGTTCTTGACAAGCCAATGACACCAGTGATCGTCGGCGAACAAGACAAGGGTTTTCTGGAGCCACTGTGGACCAAGCTTGTCCTGTAACGCGTGCATCAGCGCAATCGTGTAAAAGGACCAGAGAAAGGGAGCGATGCAACATCCCTGTTTCAGCCCATTCGTGGTGGGCTGTCCCCCCGTGGTATCCCCTGAACGAAAGATGTATTGGGCATCCCGATGAAGCTGCTTAATGATTGTGATTGTGTCTTGTGTCACTCCATGCTGCGCCAATGTTCCGTACACAATGGGCCTGCTGGTGAGGTCATAGGCCCGAGACAGGTCCAGCGACAGACTTAACCCCCCAACGCACGCATGTTGTTTGCGTCCAGAATGCTGCTGGAATCGGTTAACACGATTGGTGCGAAGAAGAACACTAGCGTCCTCAAAGTGTAGATGTACCCGGAGGAGAGCGTCGAAAGTCCCCCGATGCTTTGCGTACGCGTATTGAGGAAGGTTTGTGATCAGAGGGAGCAGCACTTCAAGCAAGGATTGTCGCAGCAACCCGGCTATGAGCTTAGCGCTGGGACATTGCAACCCTATCGGTCTTAAGTTCTCGACAGCGATTGCTGGCTTTTGTGGTTTGGGGACTAGGGTGATATAAGCATCATGTAGCTCATCCTGCAGACACTGTGTACTGCCAGCCTGGAAGTGGTGTCGGAGGGAGTTCCCCAGCACCGGCGCGATGGCTCCTGCACAGCATCGCCACAGAGCGGCTGGCGCAATACCAGCCGGAACTGCCTTGAACACGCCGAGCTTCTGTAGCTCTCGTTGCACATCCTGGTCAGTGCATTGCCAGCTGTCCTGCATGGCAGGGATGTCTGGCTCATCCGGCAGTATGCAGAAAGTGTCCTTGGCATAGTTGAGCATGGCTTGCAGAGCCGCGTCTTTGCCCAGAAGTTGACCTTGTGGGTCACGCAGTCTGGACACAAGCTTCTGGCATCGCGGAGCCAAGCCTCGCACAATTTGGTGGAGCACACGCTGGTCTCCCTTGGCGGCTGCTTGTTCTGCTTCGGCAAGCTTGCGTAGCAGCGACTCACGTTTGAGCAGCCGGCTTTGATCCCGTAGACGCCTGGAGGCCTTGGAAAAGTCACTGGCTGCCTTCCACTTAAGAAAGATGCCATGCGTGACTGCAATGCAGGGCGCCTTGAGTGCTCTGTAGAATTGCCAAGTGGTTTTGGCAGAGGCCCGGAAGGAATCCTGCGCGCTGATTCTGCTATCAGGTCTTATTTCTGGCGGGAAGTGCACAGCTGCAGTTTCAAGCAGGACTTGGTTCACGATGGCACGGGCATCCTGAAGGCTCGAGGGCTGGACCTGAGCAAGGCGGCTTGCCACGTCTTGTTGCAAGGCCTGGGCTCGCTCACTGTTGGTGCGCGTGTGCACAAGAAGTTCGTCTCTCTGAAAGGTGACACAATCAGCTGGTTTGGCAGGCGGCCGGCGGTTAAAAGGCACAACAGCAATGGTGGCCTCAATGGGCCAGTGGCCAGCCAAGCTGTATGCTTTGATGGGGAAATTGTACTTTGGCTTTGCATACCGGGCTGGGCCCTTTGCATCCGATAGCTTGGTCACGACAAAATCAATGCGGGTTCGGCTGGTAGTGGACTCATACGTGTGGCCTGGCTTGGCATGCCAACTGTTTAGGACACAAAGATCACACTTCTCAAGCAGTTTATGCAGTTGCTTGTCGCCTTGCTGTCCGTCTCCCGACAGCAGAGAGCAGCCGACATGTGGCCGGCGCGCAGCAAGCTGGGAGTTGAAGTCACCTCCAAGCAGCAGAGGATTTCTGCTCGGCAACGCTTGCAGTGCGGTCGAGAGCTTAGTCCAGACATCGCTACGATACTGCTGATTGAGGTCTGGGGTGAGTTGAGGCCTATAAACATGCTGGTAGATTCCTATGATGTCAACATTAAGGCGGCTCCGGCGATGGAGAGCACGGACGTGCAGCAGTCTACCCGGATAGATTTCATGAGCTGCGGGCTCTTGAAAGGCATCCTGATTAATCATGATGAGTATCCCTCCATATCGATCAAGACTGAGCTCAGAGTCATACCCAGAGCTGTGAACGCACATCCACTGTCCACTTCGGAAGTCGCTACTGGCTCGCCAGTGCGTCTCTTGCAGAATGATAACATCATAGCAACCGCCCTCAACATCGAGCCATGCAACGAGCTCCTGAAAGCAAGACCCCGACAATCCTCCAACATTCCAGCAAAGAGAGCGGACATCCATGGATTTATGGGGTCGAGCTATCTGTTGTCTGGGCCTAGATGTGAGGATGGCAAGGGGCTCAGAGTTAACTAGGGCTTGAAGTGAGGCTCGAGTGTGCCAGCGGCCTTTGTAGAACGTGCCGCCTTCCAGGGAGGCAGCGGCGCGGTTCCTTGCGCGGCGAAACGCACGCTTGGTGGCTTTGGGAATTAGGGACCCGGGGTTGTGGCTTTCTCTTGGCGCGACACCGTGCTGCTTCCCCCGTTCGGATGAACGGAGTCCCCCACCTACCACGGTAGTAGATGGAACCCTCGCTCCAGCTGCAGATGGGAGTTGTATAAGGCAAAGCTGTAGCATCCTGCAGCCAGCGGACTTGGGACCGCTGCGGCCATGACTAACACTGGGGCTTCGTTTTGAACGGAGGTTAGGTTTACAGGAGTCCTTGGGGCTAAGACAGAGCGCATGGCCTGATGACGAATCCTTGTCCCGAGAGGAGCAGGAGTCGGCTTGCCTCTCCGGGCCAGGTCTGTCAGGCCAACGCGGCGGGGTTCTACTTCGGGAGAGACGACGGGGTCTACAAGGCTTAAGGGGACATGATGTGCTGACCCTGGCCTGCCCTTGGAAGCAGGCTGCACGCAGGTTACGCGGTCGGTACAGCGCCAGATTGCCACGCTCAGGTGTGAGCAGAGCAGTCGACCTACTTATCTCTTCACGCATGATCCTTCTTACGCACGCAATCCTGCCAATCTCGAAGCCGGACATCAGTGAGCAGTCTGGACACTGTCCACTGCTGAAAACTCCTCTTGGCCCACCCCAGAAAGGCTGCAACCGACCTGCTGCTCGGCGCCGGGCGGGTGGCATTGAGCTTCCATCTTTGCAGACCCAGGGCAAGGTCTCTTGCCCTCTCCAACGCATGTCCCACCAACTCCAAGCAGACCACACTAGGTCCTTTGGTGTCACTGCTGTCATGAGAGGAGGCATCCTCACTGTCACTGCTGTGCTGGAAACTTGCAACGGCATCTGATTCCACAGCGTTAGCCTGAGGTTCACCATGCTTGCCGCGTCGACGGAACTGCATGCCGTCTCCATGTACTGCGGGAGGCGGCGGTGGCCCTCTAGGCAGGACATTCCTAGCACGCAGAGAATCAGCAGCGCCACCGGAAACCTCAGCGTCTTCGCCATCTGCAGACTGTGTTGTCGCACTCGGGCGACGCATGCCATGGCGCCAGGTGGTTCAAAACCTAACTGCCCACTCTCAGACTCGGGCCGTGGAGCTTTAATCATAATAATCATAGTAATCATAATAATCATAATAATCATAATAATCAAAATAATAATAATAATCATAATAATCATAAAAATCATAAAAATCATAAAAATCATAAAAATCATAATAATCATAAAAATCATAAAAATCATAATAATCGTAATAATCATAAAAATCAGAATCATCATAATAATCATAATAATCATACTAATAATAATATCATAATAATAATCACAATAATAATCATAATAATAATCATCATCAAAATCATAATAATTTGATTATTCTTACGATTATTTCTAGTATTCTATTATGTGACATTGCACAACATGCAAAAACGAAATTATTGCTAATTCTGCCTAAGTATAAATCAAAAAACAAACAAACAGATGATAAATATATATATATATATGTATATATATACATAGTTCAGTATGAAGAACGTGTCATCAAGAAAAGGCCAAGCTCATAGATTCTATGACCAGGGCACGCCGTCAAGTGTGCGCCTTCCCTCGCGTCCGCCAGGCGCAAAGCAAACCTCAATGTCTAGTGATCCGGTGACCTAAATGCCGCCTAAACCCTAAACCCTAAAACCTAAAACCTGGTCTTGATTTCTAAGCTTGTAGCCTTTCCAGCTGGAAGCTGAACCTTCAACACAGAAGCCTACACCCCGAATCACCCCTAACCCGAAGCGCTGAGCCCTAAGCCCTTAACGGAGACTCTTTTAGGGTTTAGGGTTTGGGGTTAAGAGTTTAGGGTTTGCGGTTTAGGGTTAGGCCTACAATTAACCCTACAATCCCACAACCCTGCAACAATTTAGCCCTTTAGCCCGAATCCGAAAACGAGAGCCCGCCCAACAAGCTTCGAAGGTTTGAATAATGCCTTGTAAAAATTGTTATTTTGGGTTTTTAGGGTTTCGGTTAGGGTTTCCTGTGGAGGGCAAAGGGTTTGTTTTTTTGGGCGCACATCGTTTTCAACATGGGATTGCGCTCACCATGCAAAGTTGGCACACATACCCCAAAGAAAAGCTACACCCTAACCGCCCAATCGCACAACAGACGCTCATTCAACCTAAGCTCGGACACACACACACACACAACCCACAACTCACAACTCCAAACTCCGACACCACAACAACAAGCTTTCAACCCTGAGCTCCTCCACCCCGAAAGCCCTAAACTCCGTTTAGGGTTTAGGGTTTAGGGTTTAGGGTTTAGGGTTTAGGGTTTAGGGTTTAGGGTTTAGCGTTTCAGCCAGAAGGCGAGCTCCAGCCACGGCGATTGAGGCGGCAAGGGCGGCGAGACTGGCGAGGCTGCCTGAGCCAAACCCCATGTAGGGTTCATTGTTTGGGGTTTAGGGTTTGGGCTTAGGGTTTAGGGTTTAGGGTTTAGGGTTTAGGGTTTAGGGTTTAGGGTTTAGGGTTTAGGGTTTAGGGTTTAGGGTTTAGGGTTTGGGGTTTGCTGTGATAGGGCGTAGATGCTGTGAAGGTGAGGTTTCGGAACAAGCTCGAAGCTTCGTGAGGTGCGAAAAGCAGCTTTGGCCCGATTGCGGAGGGCCATCTAACACTTTTCTCCCACCCCCCACGCCGTCCAAGGCGGCAAAGCCACCCAAACCTATTCCTTTTAGGGTTTAAGCCTAAACCCAGACAACAGTTCACTTCTAAAAACGAATTCAGTTTCATGACGTTGCTGGATCCGAGAGTCAGAGGCAGTTTCGGGGAGGTGCCAGCAAGGTCTGGGGTTGGGCCAGGCAGAGGTTGGGAAGGCCAGGGTCGGGGGTCAGGGGGGCAGGCCAGGTCAGGACGCCAGGGCGGCCAGAGCGGGAAGGCAGGAAAAACTGATTTTTGAGCACCCGCCCTGCCTGCGCCGGCCTGAGGCCCCTGGTCCCTGAGCACGCTGCCTCGAGGGTCCGGTCCTCCTGGCCTAGGGGTCCGGGGGGTACCCCCCCCAAAAAAGGCTGAGTTGTCCAGCAGCCTAGAAAACTAAAGGTTAACCTGGGGGATTCTATAGGGACTATAATACCCCCAAAAAGGTTAAAGGTTATCTACTCGACTACTTAGCCGAAAGAAAACCTAGGTTTAGGTGTAATTATTGGGGTTTGAGACTTGAGCAGCTGAGGGGTAAAGGCAACGCCTCTTTGCTGGGATTGGTGGCGTGCACGTTGCCATTGGGAAGCTTGCCAAGGTGCATGGGAGGACTTTCCATGTGGACAGGACAGGGCTTAGGGGTTTAGGGGTTTACGGGTTAGGGGTTAGGGGTCAGGGTTTAGGGTTTAGGGTTTGGGGTTTGGGGTTTGGGGTTGAGGGTTTAGGGTTCAGGGAAGGTGGCGAAATCTCGAAACTTTGCCTAAACCCAGGCTGACTTGACCGCAACATCCACCCAACTTCGCAGCCCCACCCTGCATGGCGGGGAATCCCTTAAGGGTTTAGGGTTTGGGGTTTAGGGTTTAGGGTTTAGGGGTTCAGGGTTTAGGGTTTATTAGGGTTTTCGGATGGTCTTTGTTACGGTGTCAGAGAAGCCACACTGGGGCAGAGGCTGACAACCTACAGTGGGTTTAGGGTTTAGGGCTTAGGGTTTAGGGTTTAGGCCTGAGGGCTTGGGATGTTTAGAGTGTAGGGGTCAACCCATCCCTACGGTCATTCCTCTCGGTGCGGAATCGACCGACTCGCAGAACCCACAGCAGATCGACCCTACATGCCACCGGGGCCCCAAACCCGTAAGCATCCAAAAATCAGCGGATGTTAGGGTTTAGGGTTTAGGGTGCAGGGTTTAGGGTTTAGGGCATTGATGGCAGATGTGCTCCTCCCCCCCTCCGACTTGCAACAGCGTTAGTCAACCACCTCCCGCAGTTTGGGAGCCTTCGAAGACGCCAAGCACGCTCAGCGAGGACAGCACCTGATTTACAGCACCTAGGTCGAGCCCGGACTTCCAAAACCATAACCACGAACCCTAAACCCCAAAATTGTCGACTCCCACACATCAGCGCTAAGCACCGAGTCGACAAAACCCAGAACATACCTCAAAGTAACTCTACTTGGAGGTTCACGGCACTTCTTAAACAATTAGAACTGTACTTCTAACTGTACCTATAACCATATTGGGGCACTTAAGGGGCTTATTAGTGGCTTCTAAGTACAGTTATAACTGGTTCATAAGTACTGTACCATGAACCTCCAAGCTACTTCAGGGTAGCCGTTGAGGCACTGGGACCCTCTTCCCAGTGAGGCTTCCTGTGTGATTCTCAGCTGGTGGGTCTTGGGGTTCACGCAGGGCTTGCAGCAAGATTTCTGAGCGCCGTTACGCAACCTTTCCTGTGGCCACACTAATTGAGGTTAACCCTGAAACCCCCAAACCCTAAAGCCTAAGCTCTGAAACCCTCAACCGAAGGCCCCACACTGCAGAGAAGCCTACAGATTCCCGGTTCTCAGGGCGGTCTGGGTTCTGGGCTGAGGAGTTGCGAAGCCCTAAACCCTGAACCCTACACCCTAAACCTTGAAGGGTTCAGGGTTTACGGCTTCAGGGGCTCAGGACTCAAGGGGACCCACATTCCAGGCACGGCCCCCAAGTTTACGATGGGGATTTACAGTTTAGGGCTTATACAGGGGAACCACATCCGCGTGCCAACCGCTACAGCCAAAAACCTAACCCTAAACCCTAAAAGCCCCACTGAAATCCATGTCTTGCTGTCACGGGAACGAGGAAAAGCAGCAGCGCTCGCTCGAACCAGCGCTGCGACACATACCTCGGGAGGTTTCACCCTAAACCCTAAAACCTAAACCCTAAACCCTAAACCCTAAACCCTAAACCCTAAGCCCAGGACCCTTGGATAGCATGTTCGCAGTTGAAGGGAAGAGTCGAGGCTTATCTGGCACCAGGAGCTTCCCAGTTGCGTAAGATGCTGTGGGGCTCGGCATGGGACACTTTGAGCGACCGGAACATGGATCTAGGAACTCCAAAAATTATTCTTGGTCTAATTGGTTGGGGGGGGGGGGGGGGGGGGGTATGAGAAACTTCTAGCCACTGAACAGTGCACAATGAAAGAGTCGAAGTGATTGGGTATATTTACTTTGGTTGAAAACTCGGGCCACACAATGCGAGACCCTTCATGCTACCCTTTCTCGACTCGAAGTCCCTTCCACCACCGCCGTCCTTGCTACCGAACCAACTCCCCCCAGCCTGCAATTTCGAGCCGGTACACTCCAAAGGAAACAAGCCGTCAATAACCTCCTCAACACCTCTAGTAGGCCCTGTAAATCTCAAACCGTAAACGTAAAACTCTCATCGAGCCACGAAATATCCTAACTCCACGCCCCTTTGCTTATACACCCAAGGAAAATCCGAGATGAAATCACAGTCAGGCCGTGTGGCGGTGCGAGGGTATTGCCCGCCCACAAGCCTGCAGCCGGAATCTCTGGGAAGGATTTAGGGCTCTTTGGCTTACAAGGGTTCTCGAGTTTAGGGCTCTAGGTCTCTCGGTCTGCCGGTGTCGAGGAGGCATAACCCTTACATGTGTGTGTATATATATATATATATACATGTTGTATGTGTATATATGCACATATAGTATATGATTTTCTGGAAACACCTACGCATAAATACTTGTTATAGAATGCCTGTTTAAAAACTGAGGAAATGGGGTTTAGGGTTTAGAGTTGAGGGTTTGGGGCTTAGGGTGTAGGGCATAGGGTTTTTGTAGGTCTAGAGTTGAGGGGCTAGCTAGCCGGTCGAACTAGTAGGATTCCAATCGGCTTTTACGTTCAGGGCCTAGGCTTTCGGTCTTAATTAGGGTTCAGGATGGGCCCTGAAACTCTCCCGAAAAAGCCCTGAACTCCGGTTTAGGGTTTAGGGTTTAGGGTTTAGGGTTTAGGGTTTAGGGTTTAGGGTTCCGCTAACCCTCAAGCCCTACATCTTGAAACCATACTTCCAGCCCAAACCATCAACGCACGCCCCATCCATCGTAAAGCCTCAACCATCAACTTCGTAGGCCAAGCCCTAAAGTAGGGCTTGGGGTGGGGCTAGGGCTTGAGCTTTTCGGGGGATATAATTTAGGGCTTAGGGTTTGGGTGTTTCAGGGTTTTTGGATTTTCGGTTTTTCAGGGTTTTGGGTTTTTTTAGTGTTATGAGGGTTTAGGGTTTTTAGAGGCCTGTAGGGTTTGAGGTGACCCCAAACGCTAACCCTCCCACAACCCTGCACCCTGCACACCCCGCAAATAGTATAAACATGATACACCCTCCAATAAGCCCGAGACCCTAAACCCTAAACCCTAAACCCTAAACCCTAAACCCCAAACCCCAAACCCCTAAACCCTAAACCCAAACCCTGAGCCCATGTCGGGCTGGACTTGGACACCGAGGGGCCCAGGGATCCAGCGAGGAAGCCTCGGGAACGAAACAAGGGAAAGGTCGGGACTCTTAGGGCTTAGGGTTTAGGAACCCGAAACCCCAAACCCCAAACCCTAAACCCTTAACCCTAAACCCTGAACCCCTAAACCCTAAACCCGAAATCCGATTCCGCAGACCCTCCCTCTGCCCTCGCCCCCGACCCCATTGTAGCCTTTAACAAGGGCCAAAAGGGGGCGGTGGCGGGGGTGAGGTCCAAGAAAGAACCCCTAATCCCTAAAAAGCCCCTAAACCCTAAACCCTAAAAACCCTAAAAACCCTAAAAACCCTAAAAACCCTAAACCCTAAACCCTGAACCCAGTTTGGGATTCCATTGAAGTTCAGGATCTGCGGCTGAGATTCGGAGTTGGGGGCTTGGGGATCATTTGAGGGGGGGCTGGGCCGAGGGCGGCCTGCGGAATTTCAGGGGTTCGGGGTCGAGGGTTTAGGGTTTAGGGTTTAGGGTTTAGGGTTTAGGGTTTAGGGTTTAGGGTTTAGGGTTTAGGGTTTAGGACGACTCTACGGAATAAACTGTTGGAATGTTCCCACTTATACTAAGAGTCCTTCATGAGGATGATAGTACCCCCTATGAGAATCCCGATTAAGGACTGCTAGTAGGAGGGGGAACATCCCAATGCCCATCCCTACTCTCTTCCCCTGATAAAGTGTGGCTCTAACAGGGCTTTGGGTTTTGGGAGCTCGGGCACCCGAAGCCCAAAAAAGCCCCCCTGGGTTTAGGGTTTAGGGTTTAGGGTTTAGGGTTCAGGGTTTAGGGTTTAGGGTTTATCGAAACCTGATCCACGAGCTCGAGGACCCCACAGCCTACTTGGAGGTTCATGGGCACTTATAAGAAGGGGTAGAAGTACTCTAAAAACAAAAGGTGATAACCATAGCTACCCTACTTATAACCTACTTATAAGTACCCATGAACCTCCAAGTAACCCCCAAAGTCCTGAGCCTTCACGGAAAATGCCCGACAAGTCCTTAAAACCCTGCAGGCACAACCCCTCAAAACCCAACAAACATCTCATTGAGGCGCCATACAATCAATTGAAATCCCGCTCAAGTTACCGCCGAGTAGCTGACAACGTAGATGTGGGAATCGACCAGCCTTTCTTGTTTGGTGAGAGGGGAGATCTGAATCCCTTGGAAACCCTGAGCCCGAAACGGCCAGGAAAGGGTTTAGGGTTTAGGGTTTAGGGTTTAGGGTTTAGGGTTTAGGGTTTAGGGTTTAGGGTTTACTGTTGTTCTCGCTTTAGCATCTTCCCCCCAAACAATTTCGCGATAAGGCCCGAAGGACTCAGAGCTCTTCATCCAGGAGACGCCGTCCCGAATGGCAAAGGGCCCGGGCTGCTTGTACTGAACACTGAAGGGTTTAGGGTTTAGGGTTTAGGGTTTAGGGTTTAGGGTTTAGGGTTTAGGGCTTAGGGTTTAGGGTTTAGGGTTTAGGGTGCCCGAAGCGTGTCGACCAAGGCACCAGTCCTTGTGGCGCGGATAGAGCTCGGCCTCCTGAAGCCGCACGGAAGCAATGCTTCCAATGTCATTCCCAGAGGGTCCATTTGTATTACTATTATGGAATTAGGTACCAAAAAACACTACTAAATAGGGTTTTGGGGTACCTCAATCCAGAATAGTATTGCAAATGGACCCTCTGGGATTAGCTTGTCCCTCCGTGTCGTCGCCCTCGCGAGAAAGACGCCTGAAGGGGAGGAGAGGAGAGAGGATCCAGGAACAAGCTTTTCGCTGTTCATGCACAGACACCGAATCGAGAAAGTGACATTCTCGTTGTGTCTTAAATTCTTCATCCGACAGCGCTCTCGCCTATCAGTCTCAAACCCAAAAACCCAAAACAACTCGACATCGCCCATTTCCCAAAGGTGATCCGACCTTCTCTTCCTAAATCCTGAACCTCCTACACCTGCGAAAGCCGACATCTCTCCTGGCAAAGCTCATGAATCGGAAAGGTGATCTGATCTCTGTTTCTCCTAAAACCTAAGCCGCCCTCGGGGCATCCTAAGCGCTCAGCCCCGACATCGCTCGAATCGGAGAGGTGATCTGAGTGGTCCGACGTCTCTTTCTCCTAAAACCCCCCTGAACCCGACATCTTTCTTATCTCATCTCTCTTTCTCCTAAGTCCTAAACACCCAAAAACACCCAAAAACCCTCATCTCTCTTGGCCCGAATCCTAAACAGGCTTGACAGTGAGCTCCAGGCAGCTAAGTGCCCAGGCGACTCGGACGTCGCGGCCTAGAGTTGGCGTGAGCTCCTCAACGCTCGAATCAGGAAGGTGATCTGATCTCTGTTCCTCTCAACCCTAAACTCTAAACCCTAACCCCTATACCCTAAAAACATTGTGGCAAACGCAGAACCCCCCCCGCCTAAACCCGACATCTCTCTTGGCACGAGCCCTAAATAGACATTGTGAGAAACGCATTGAGCTCCGGGCTGAAAACTATTCGCTCAAGAACCCCAAAAATAAAATATAATAATCCCTATACCCCCATTTGTAAGAAGAATATGTTTTGATGTTTTTACATACTTTTTTGGATGGGAGGGGGGGGGGGGGTCTTAAGCAAATAGAACTAAACCCTAAGCCCCTACACCCTAGACCCGAAACCCTAAACCCTGAAACCCTGAACCCCAAACCCCAAACCCTAAACCCCAAACCCTGAACCCTAAACCCCAAACCCTACACCCCAAACCCCAAACCCTAAGCCAGGCCGGGTCGACTGTATTCTGCCCAAGACCAGGAGCATGGGCAGACGAAAGGCCCAAACCTGCCACCAAAAGGGTTCAGAGTTTAGGGTTTAGGGTCAGGGTTTAAGGGTTTAGGAAGCTTTTGGGTTTCGGAGGCTTCGGGTTCAGAGCTCGAGGTTTGTTTTTTTTTTTTTTTTTGGGGGGGGGGGGGGGGAATTTTGGGGGAGTTTTGCCCGGGGTTTAGCTGGGGCTCAGGAGTTTCGGGGGATAGGACATGTGGGACTCAGAGCTGGGGATTTTGGGGGTTTGGGGTTTAGGGTTTGGGCTAAAGGTTTCGAGCTTTTGGAGGCTCAGAAGGCTTGGGGCCTTGATGCCCAAAACCCATATAACTTTCAAGCACCAGTTATTCGGAAGCATCCCATTCCTTTCCAAAGGTCCAAAGCGTACTCCACCGTGAGTTCTCCGAGGGATCTAGGATTTCGGACGTGATTTTTTTTTGAGTACGGTTTAGGGTTTAGGGTTTAGGGTTTAGGGTTTAGGGTTTAGGGTTTAGGGTAGCAATGCTACAGAAAAGGTAGGATTAAGAATCTTACATGGAATTTGGGGTTTAGCATGTACGGGTAAGGGCTTAGGGTTTCAACCTAATTACAGAGAAGGTAGGTTTGGGTGCTTTAAAAGGCAAGGTCTCAAGCCTCTACCGCCTGGCCCATGGGGAAAACGTTGCGCGCAATGACCTGGCAACCATGACTTACGAGTTCTGCGCGGAGAATGCCAGGGTTGGGGTCTAGAAGATGTGGGGTACCTCAGGCCCTCGGTGCGGGTCGTTGCCTGCGGGGAGCCAGTAATCCTCAACACAAACCTTTAATAACTAAATTCCACACTCCCCAAGAACGAATCTGCGGTTGCTTTTGTGGTAGCGGTGAAGTGGAGGGTTCTGGGTTTCAAGCCAAGTTAGGAAACAAACTGTATGAAGGCACAAAGGGGTACGACTGGGGACTTCCCTGCATAGCTGCTGTTTTCACCGTCTGCTTGTGAGACGCAACTCTGGTTGATCTCAGGCCCCTCTCGAACTCTTCAAGCAAAGTGCCCGTCTACACATCAGCGCTGGCTAACCAAGTGCCTCTCTCGCTCTCGCTCTCGCTCGCGCTCTGTCACATCATTTTATTCGTCTGCTTCTCGTTCCGACACCGTGTCCTCATTCAGTCCATCTTTTTGGGTGTCCTGACGTTTCATCTTTTCATTCTGAAACCGTGCCGTTTCTTGACTTTGTTTATGTGCTCATTTCGAGTGGGCATACTCTGAGGATCCATATTCTATGTGTGTTTGACGCCTCTGCCCTGGACAGCCTCCCTAAGCCCTCTGTGCTTAGACTCTACAAAAACCCCAAGCAACTCGACCTCCAAACTCCTCAAAACCCCTCAAAACCTCTTAAAAACCCTAAGTCCCTTAGCAACCCCAAACTCAAACCTCCAAACTCCAAACCCCTCTAAACCCCTCAAAAACCCCTCAAACCCCTAAAAACAACGCGAAGCCGGCTTAGACTCTACAAAAACCCCCAAGCAACTCGACCTCCAAACTCCTCAAAACCCCTCAAAACCTCTTAAAAACCGTAAGTCCCTTAGACTCTTCCTCCCCACCCCTTCTGAAACCCAAGGGCCCATACTTCAGAACCCTTTAAGGGACCATGGTAAGGGACCATGTAACCCCCCCCCCCACCCCCCAATAATGTAGGCGCCTGAAAAAAAACAGGGTTTTGGGGAGGGTCATCATAGTATATAATTATGAAGGACCATAAGGGAATTACTGTTAGTAATTATTCCGACGGCAACTAGCGTGATAACCTTATTTAGGGTACTTATAACCCTACTTAATAAGTGCCCAGGAACCTCCAAGTACCCTTAGAACCCCAACCTCCCCCCCCCCAAGGGGTTTAGGGTTTAGGGTTTAGGGTCTAAACCTTTGCCGGTCGGCTTTGTCAAGGCCGGTGATGGCAGTGAGGAGGATGAAGGGCGGGCCATTCATGCCGCACCTACAGCTTCCAGGGTTTAGGGCTTAGGGTTTAGGGTAGGGTTTAGGGTTTAGGGTTTAGGGTTTAGGGTTTAGGGTTTAGGGTTTAGGGTTTAGGGTTTAGGGTTTAGGGTTTAGGGTTTAGGGTTTAGGGTTTAGGGTTTAGGGTTTAGGGTTTAGGGTTTAGGGTTTAGTCTGAATGACGAAGCCCTGTTGGCATCCTAAACTCTCAGGAATATAAACTACAATAGACACCAGTCTTACTAGGGACAATCTGGCACCGAGATCACACACATGGAGCTACGGACCGTGAGGCGGCAAAGGAGATAGCTAGCTCTGAAAGCTCCAAGCCTCAACTTTGAACCCCAAACCATGATAACTCTAAACCCTAAACCCGCAACCCTGATTCAAATACGCACGCTGCCGGGCAGATTTCAGGGAACTGGCCGCCGGTGCATTGAGATCTTCGCACCTGTAAGTTGGGATGTTCCCCGTTCCCCTTTATTATACTAACAGCCCTCAAGAGGGAATATAGTACCCCCTACTGCCTACTAAGGACTGCTAGTATACGGGAGAACATCCCAACCTGCAAGTCTCATGCCCTTTGGTCTTGTTTCGGGATGAGATGTCCATGCGCCTCCTTGCCAATGCGTTCAACATCGAAGAAGACCTGCCTAAAAGGGAATTGCAAGAGTGAATCGGTTGAGCGAATCCATAACTCATATGAATCCCCACCACCCCAAGCCCGCAGAACCAGAAACCCCTCTGAGCCCCGCGCAAAACTTTTGCATCCCTGCACCTCGAAAACATGGCACGGAATCGACCCAGGCCAGAAAAAAGAAACACCTGTCCAGCCCAAAGCGAACACCCCAAAATCCCTAAACCCCAAAATCCCTAAACCCCTAAACCCTAAACCCTAAACCCTAAATCTTAACCCTAAACCCTAAACCCTAGGCCCTGCTTCCCCAAAAGAAAAGAAAAGCCAGGAGCCCCACAGTCCGCCAAGGAAGCCACCCACCAAGCCTCTGGGCATTTTGCCGCTACAAGGTCGAGGATGTAGGGGTTTAGGGTTTAGGGTTTAGGGTTTAGGGTATAGGGTTTCGGGTTTAGGGTTTCGGGTTTCGGGTTGTAGGTTTAGGGTTTGGGGTTTGGGGTTTAGGGTTTACTTGGTTTCTGGTTTAGTGTTTGGGGTCTACTCGAAGGTTCACCAGTACCTAGAGTTCGAAGTAAGTTTGGGTTCGCTACTCCCCACACTCTCTGCTAACCCTAAGCTCAAAACCCTGATATCGTAAACCTCCACATACCCATCTAGGATGGCCCTTAAGGGGCAACCCTAACCTTAAACCCTAAACCCTAAACCCTAAACTTACCCAGGGCCATGCATTCGACCCCGCCTACGCCCGGCAGTGCTCGCAGTAGCCACGCGGGAGCTGGAGGGAGCCTCTCGGCTGCACTGGGCTTTCCAATACCCCTCTGTTCCGAAACCCGAATCCCCAGATTTAGGGTTTTGGGCCTTTTAGGGCTAGGGCTGAGGGAGAGAGAGATATATATATATATATATATGTATGTCTACCCGAAAACCCCAAAACTTAGGGTTCAGGGCTGAGGGTTTAGGGAACCCTGACACTCCTAATCCCTAAAACCCCATAAAGTATGTCCTTGTCAGCATCCACAAGCCGGTTGCGGAACGTGCCCAGGGCTTTACTTTCATCTTTCGTCCGAGGCTGACCGGTAATCACCCCAAGTGTTTCCTTAGTTGCTGAGTTCATAAGCCCCCAAAAAAGTGTACACTTTCGGTTCTATAGGGGGTTATGGTATCCCAAAAAATGTAAAGTGTGTTCACTCAGCTTGAGCCAGTGACTCTCTACATGACCCGACATAACCGCACTTTACAGGCTCCTAGTTCATGGTTGGGATAATATTTAAAATTTCAAGTTTATATTCCTTATTGGGTTTAAGTACCCTTAAACATGTAAAATGTTCCCCCCCACTATGACAAAGACTCCATGAGCCAGGAAATCGCCCATGCCCACTTAGCGGGAATCTGGTGGGGCTTTGTGTTTTTCAGGTCTTCCGACAGGCAGATGGTCAAGTTAAAGAACCCCCGATTAAAGAGCCACCAAGGTTCTTTTTTAGATTAAAAACCTCCCTGCATGTGTATGGACCCAGACTCAGACCGGAGAACCCTCCCATGTTTAGAGAGAAACAATAGTAAGAACATTGGGCACCCCAAAACCGAAACTAGAACCGCTTGGTAGAGTCCATAGGGTTGATGGCGTTTGAGGGGCGTAAGAGTAGGTATATGGGCCCTTAATGTGGTTCCTTACCTTCTTTAAAGGGTTCTGAAGTTTGTGCCCCTTGTGCTGTATAGGGTGTATAAGGGGTATAATAAGGGGTCCGAGTCTTTTGGGGTCCATTTCTTCCGGAGTTCTAAGATTCCAACATGGAAGTTACCAATACGGCCCCACGTGCAGACGGGTGGCATGTGTCCATTGTGAGCCCTAAACCTTAGACCTTAGACCTTAAACCCTAAACCCTAAACCCTAAACCCTAAACCCTAAACCCCAAACCCCAAACCCTAACCCCCCTCCCCCCCCCCCCCCCCCCCCCCCAAAAAAAAAAAAAAAAAACTCCGAGTATGGGCCTCGGCTTCTCTGTCTTCTCAGCCTCAGCGGCCTCTTCTACCGCCGGCGCTCCTTCGGCGCCTGGAAAGGGCGGGGGTTTAGGGTTTAGGGTTTAGGGTTTAGGGTTTAGGGTTTAGGGTTTAGGGTTTGGGGTTTGGGGTTAAGGGTTTAGGGGCGTAGGGATTGAGAGCTTAGGGCTTAGGGTCTAGGAGTTGGGGTTTTAAAGTTCGGGGCTTAAAATTTGCAGTTGTGGGTTTCGGGTTTAGCGTTCAGTGCCTCGGTCGTATATACATTAAGTATACTCTTGAGGGTCCCCTTGCAAATAGGGCAAGCACAAGCAAGATGGTCATGCCTAAACCCTAAACCCTAAACCCTAAACCCTAAACCCTAAACCCTAAACCCTAAACCCTAAACCCTAAACCCTAAACCCTAAACCCTAAACAGGGTTCAGGGCTCTGCGGAGTTAGAGCTCTCTCTGTGAGGCTTCAATCAACGTCAAGGGATTCTACCTTGGATCCCTAAGGTGGCACCCTTTGGTTTGGAGCCCTTTCAGGGTTTAGGGTTTAGGGTCCCTCTGTAGAGGTAATATAAGGGCCATATAAGGAGTATATTAAGCGGAATCTTTAGGGGTGCAACCCTAGGGGTACGAGTCTGACTTCCTTGATTCAAGGGTTGTGGATTTCAGTAGCGATCCAAACATGGAGTAATAACTACTTGGGAGGAAAGGTCAGCAGCCCTAGATACCTAGAAACCCAGCCCCTAAGGCCAGCAAAATTTTCGCAGAAGCCACATTGAGATGAGGGTTTAAGGCTGAGGGGCGTAATACGAGGGTTTAGATCGTGAGTATAGGTGCCGGATCCTATGAACCATCACCCAACAGACTCCTAACTCAAAGCTCATGACCTGCTTCTACTAAGTTACTTGGGGCATTTGATTTAGATACTTAGGGTTGTCATAGGACTTATGATTATGATGCCTAGGCACTTGTTGAGGTCCTCTTTCTTTATACCCTAGCCGGGCCGGGTGCGGGATTCAAGACGTCCCTTGGTGTTGATTATAGAAATGGTTTTTTGTTTCAAACCTTTTTTTACTCAAATTGGTGTTCTTGGTGTTTGTTGCAAGATGCAGCTCGGGAGGTTGAAATTTGTAAGCCCAGCATAGGTATGCTTGAGAACCTTCGAGGCTGAGTGTTGGCCAATCACTCAGGTTTCAGGGTGGATTGGCTGGAGTTTGATCGATTGGCGGCAGGGTATGTGTTGCCAGGAATTGTAGGGGTGAGCGCTGCAGGTGCTGCACGCGCGAGGCTCAAGGCCCCCACGCACGGGAATTTACTGGTCCGACCATGAAGATCTCAACCTGTCACACCTCATCATCTTAGACATGTGCCAAGCGCGCAGGGACATCTTAAATGTTCGGCCGTGTTTTCGAACCGAGTAAGGGGTGGTGTGCAGGGCCTTACCTCCTTTAAAGGGGATATGATGTATGGGCCCTTCATTTGTTTAGGGTATAGAAGGGAACATCAGAGGCACCCTTTTAAGGGCCCATCCCTCCCAGCAACCTAACAAATCCCTCGCCAACGCCCTAAACCCTAAACCCTAAACCCTAGACCCTAGATCCTAAACCCTAAGCCGGCCTTCAGTGCAAACGGCACCATGTACTTGCTTCGGCGGATCCGCATCCGAGCCAGCCCCCTGCACAAAGAACCCTGAAGACCCTGGAACTCCCCAAGCAGTGATGCTGGTCTAAAAAAGGCTTAGGGTTTAGGGTTTCGGGTTTCGGGGTTTCGGGGTTAGGGACCCTAGAACTCCCCTAAGCTCTATAGGGCTTTCGTGGATTCAGGGCTATGGGGTTTGGGGCTTTGTGAGGCTAAAGGTTGAATGAACCAAACAAAGCCCTGCCACAGTCCGAGAAGACTCCAAAGCCCTTGGTCAAAGGCGCGGGCTCCGAACACCTGCATCATACCCCTTCCCCTATAGAAATCTTCTACCGCCCAAACGCGCACTAATGTGTTATGAGTATACCTACAGGGGCCCCTTAACCCTTAACTTAACCCTTAACTTAACCCTTAACTTAACCCTATGTAGGGAGTGTCATGTTCGGAGCAGGAGAGAACGCTCAACGTACTTTATCTCACGAGCTCCAAAGCCCTTCCCAGTAACCATATAATGACACCCTTTCTTGGGTTAGTTACTTGATAAGGGAACCCATAATCAAAAAAGGGTAAGGGGTACCACTGGGCTACTCAGCACTTTAAGGATTAGGGTCTTTAGGCGGGCTTTAATGGCTCAGGGAGTTTGAATTGCGGGCTTTAAAGAGTAAACTGGTTAGGGCTGAACCCTACACTGCCGTATATTGAGATATGGTGTTTTCAAATTACAGTAAGCGCCACGTCATGTGAAGCAGGCTTTGTTCTTACTAGTAGCGCCAAAAGGACACTCAGTACACACGCTCACCAGCGTACCGTTAAATATTCTGAGGAGCCCTCCCTAAACCCTAAACCCTAAACCCTAAACCCTAAACCCTACACACCCTAAACCCTAAACCCTAAATCCTAAACCCTAAATACTAAACCCTAAACCCTAAACTGCCCTAAGCCCGAATTAGGGGGCGCCAGGTGTTCGGATGCCCTCTTAGCCTGGACAGCCTTTGCCCGCCACAGGGCCACCAGCCCATCGAAGGCCAGCTTGGCCAGGGCGAAGGTCCTGGAACCCCACGTGGGGTTTAGGATTTAGGGTTTAGGGTTTAGGGTTTAGGGTTTAGGGTCCAGGGTTGCGGGTTTACGGCTCGGGGTTTAGGGTTTAGGGTTTTGGGTTTAGGCTTTAGTAGGGTTTTAGGCTTGACAGACCAGGCACAGGAACGTCAGAGCCAGCACGAGTTGAATCGTCTCGGTGGGCGCGACCTGCGCAGTGCTTTTGCCAAGAAACCCGACTGCGGCCCGCGCCCTAAACCCTGAACCCTGAACCCTAGACCCTAGACCCTAAACCCTAAACCCTGAACCCTAAACCCTAAACCCTAAACCCTAAACCCTATACCCTAAACCCTAAACCCTAAATCGTTCGAGTCTGCGGTTCGTGCTTGCTTTAGTGCATTTTCATGTCCTAGGCCCACAAGACCCCTAAACTTCACTCGGCAGGCCCCTTTCTTCAGTACCTAAGGATGGTTACATGGTCCCTTCATATTAGGGTTTTAGGGTTTTAGGGTTTTAGGGTTTTATGGGCCCTTAAACCGAGACCCCTTGTATACCTCTTATCTTCCCTGCAAAAGCCAAGGGCAAGAACCCTTTAAAGAAGGTAAGGAGCCATTTTAAAAGGGACCATTGTAACTACCACCCTTAGAACCTCAGGGTTCCTTACAAACCCTAAGTCCGAAACCCTAAATCCTAAATCCCAAAAGGGCCATGCCACTCTAAACCCTAAACCCAAAACTCTAAAAGGGCTATTTATGTAAACCTCTGAATGCCCCCGTACCTCCCTCACGTGGTTGCCCACAGGAGACCTTGGTGCAGGTTTCTTGGGACTTCGGGGGGCTTGTCAGGGTCTTGCTGGGCTTAGGGTTTAGGGTTTAGGGCTTAGGTTTAGGGCTTAGGGTTTAGGATCTAGGGTCTTTTTTTGGAGGGGGGGGGCGGGGGGTTGAAGCTCCGGGTGTTGGGGCTGAGGGTTTAGGATGTGGGGTTGAGGATTGCGCGCCTCGAAATGAAGTCGCCGCTGGACCCCTTCTATGGTGACTTTAGATGGTTGACGAATCCTAAACCCGAACTCCAAATCCTAAGATCCGAAGCCCAAAGCCCCCTAAACCCTAAACCCTAAACCCTCAACCCTAAACTCCAAACCCTGAACCCTAAACCGTAAACCCCCGGATCCTGAGCCCTGAGTGTTGATTTGCAGCTAAAAGTTTCGAGTTGACCGTTCAAGTTTGAAAGGCTGAGTTAAATTAAAGCACTCTATATGGGGGGTTGACGAGAATAGGGGACCCTAAAAATCATCCCAAGTAGCAAACCTGACAGCGAAGCCCGTAACCCTGAACCCGAATATCGGTTCTGGCACCCTGGCCCGCCTTCGGGGTTCGGGCTTTGGGTTTAGGATCTACGGGTTTAGGGTTTAGGGTTTAGGGGTTTAGGGGTTTAAGGGTTTAGGGGTTTAGGGGTTTAGGGTTTCTGGAGAATTAATAATACAATAATGCGGGGTGGCACTCAGAAGATCTCGTTAAAAAAACACCGTCGACGCTTGTTTTGCATAAGCCAAACACGCGTCCACAGCGTCCCTTTCCGTAGGGTTTAGGATTTAGGTTTGGTGAGGGTTGATGAGGATTCAAGGTATGGGGTTTGGGGCTTTGTGGGTTCAGCAGAGTTTGAGGAGTTTTGAGAGGTGCCGGGCGTCATTCAATGCTGGCTCTTCAGTTCTCTTCAATGGATGGGACTATGGCTGGATGGGAGCTTGGGAGAGATTTGCTCAGGCCCCCAGTCCAAAGGAAAGCCCTGAATAGACTCAAGTCGCACAGCACTTCTTAGTTGCTGAGTTCATAGGCCCCCAAAACGTGTACACTTTCAGTTCTATAGGGCATTATAGTATCCCAAAAAGTGTAAAGTGTACTCACTCAGCTATTGAGACTTTCAGGGAGGCTAGCTTAGCTCAGGGTGGGAGTGTGAGTGGAATAACTCCGTGGCTGCGTGAGGTGCCAGTCTCAAAATCACGTAGGTAATCCGGGCCTGAAGCCCCATAAACGCCTGAAACCATACCAGCACCACCCTCCCCCCCCACACCCTAAACCCTAAACCCTAAACCCTAAACCCTCCCAAAGCTCACTCTTTCATTCCGAAAGGCAGCACCAGCATGGCCACGCTGAAGATGGCCCCGGGCTTCGCGTACCACCACCTGCGTTTGCGCATCGAGCGGCTTCGGGTTGGATGCATTAGGGTTTAGGGATTAGGGTTTAGGGTTTAGGGTTTAGGGTTTAGGGTTTAGGGTTTAGGGTTCCTTCTCCTAACAGTCTTTAATTGGGCCCCCTACTTTGATCCCTCTTCAGGAGTCCTTAATTGGGACTTTAGTATCCCCCCCCATACTATCATCCCGACTCAGCAGTCCTTAATTGGGATTGTAGTAACACCCCCTAGTCTATATGATCCCAATTACGGGCTGTTAGTATAAGGGGGAACATCCAAAGGTTCGGGACTGGCAGGTTTTGGGCTTAGGGTTGAGGGTTAAGGGTTTAGGGTTTAGGTTGGAAACGACTTACTAAGAATCGGGGCTGCAGGGACGAGTGTCGGGGAACCTCTTCAGTCTCCTCCACTTGTTGTAATCGTCACCGATATACTCATACTAGAGATCCCCCTTCCAGCTAAAGTTCACCTCCCTCCCTCCCCCTAAACCCGAAACCCTAAACCCTAAAGCCTAAAGCCTGAAGCCTAAACCCTAAACCCTAAACCCCAAACCCGAAACCCTAAACCCTAAACCCCAACACCCCACAAGAAAGGGGTGCCGTGGCGAAGCTCAGCCATGACAGGGAGGATTATTTCGAGGAAGAGGCCATAGCCGTGTTGGAGGCTGTTACTTCGTAACGAACCCCCCTAAGCCCTAAATCCTAAAATCCTAAGCCCTAAACCTTAAATCCTGAATCGTGAACCCTAAACCCTAAACCCTAACGTCAGGACATGGGCTTGAATATGGCCTCTTGGCTGGGGGGGGGGGGCCACTCTTTGTTTAATTGGGTCTTATGGGATGCTAAAGCCACGTGCCGCACACCTCCTAGGGTTTGGGGGTTTGAGGGCAGCTGTGGGGTTAGAAAGACACAACTACGGTCATGCACCTCGAGCCCGAAAGGCAACCTTCTAAATCCTAAACCCTAAACCTAAACCCTAAACTCTAAAGGGAAGCGACCATGTACGGTTCTTTTGGGGACATTGTATTCTTGAACAACTCGTGAACATCAGCCGAGAGGCCACTCCCGGCCATTCTGCATGGCCAGTAAAGCGGTCGAGGCGCACTGCATGACCTTTGGGTTCAGGGTTTAAAATGCGAGCTTCGGGAGGGTTCAGGGTTTAGGGTTTAGGGTTTGGGGTTTAGGGTTTAGGGTTGAGGGTTTTAAGGGTTTGGGGCTTCTAGGGTCTAGGGTTTACAGGGCTTAGTGCTCAGGGTTTAGGGTTTAAAGGGCTTAGGGCTTCGGGTCTAGGGTTTCGGGTTTAAGAGGCTTAAAGGTTAGGGCTCAGGGTTTAGGGTTTAAAGGGCGTAAAGGGCAAATGGTCTAGGGTTTAGGGTTTAAAGGGCCCTTTAAAGCTGAAACCTAAAGGCTTAGGGCTTAGGGCTTAGGGTCTAGGGTTTGGGGTTTAAAGGGCCGCCTGATACCCAAACCCTGGATCCTTTACTCGAAAGGCCTGAGCCCAGCTTCCAGCTGGAAAGCCCGGCCGAGGTCATCAGGTGGAGCCTACGGTCTGTGAACTTCGGTTCAGGGCTCAGTACTTCTGGGGAGAGTTTAGGGTTTAGAGGGGTTTAGATGCTTCAGGGCTTTAGGGGGAATTCAGCTCTCGCTCACCCTCTGTAAGTCTGTATAACCCAAAGCCATGCAAGCGGAAGTGCTAAACTCTGAGGTAGCCGCGCAGATGAGCCCTGCAAGCAGCCCGAGATTCTCCATCTCCTGCACTTGGGTGGATCGGGTTTTAGGATTTAGGGCCCTGAGAGCCCTAAACCCTAAGAGCCTAAGCCCCAAGCCCCAAGCCCCAAGCCCCAAGCCCCAAGCCCTAAGCCCTAAGCCCTAAGCCCTAAGCCCTAAGCCCTTACAAGCCCAACTTGTAGTCCTGAAATGCTGGGCTAGAGACTGCTGTGCCAGTCAGCTATAGGAATGATCACTCCCCCCCTTGTATTAGACATCCACTTGATTATGAAAAACACTTTCGGGGAAATCCTGCCGAAACCGATCCCGCCTTTTCAACCCTATTCCGAATTCGGGCGGGGGTTCAAAGACTCAAGAGCCTTCAAGCCAATCTAAATCCTATCCCAAAAGATGGCATATGGATAAAAACATCCCCCTAAAATTTAACAAACATTTCGAGTTTCTATTGGGGGAGGGGGGCGGGGGGGGCCCACCCGTTTAATAATAGGCGGAAACGATTACCAAAGGTGCCCTATTCTGTTCTGTGTCGAGGGGTTAAGGCTCGTACCCCTAAGGTTGTACCCCTAAAGGCGTTCCTTAATATGCTCCTAACATGGCCATGACATTGTTAAGCCCTGAACCTTAAACCTGAAACTCCAAAGCCTTAAACCCCAAAACCCTACAACCCTAGAAGCCCTAAAACCCTAAAACCCTAAACTCTAAGCCCGCAGCCCTAAACCCGAAGCCCTAGATCCGAAACCCTACACCTGAAATTCAAACCCTAAACCCTAAACCCGAAACCCCGAAACCCTAAAACCCCAATCCTGGAAGCCGGCCAGGGCGAAGAGCTGCCAGCCCGAGCCATACACCAGGGCCTTTCAAAGAGGGGCGGGTTTGGGTCTCCGGGGTTTAGGGGTTTAGGGTTTAGGGTTCAGGGTTCCGGGTTTAGGGTCTATCGGGTTTAGGGTCGAGGGCTTAGGGTTTAGGGTTCTGGGGAGTTTGCGAGGGGCTTTTCGGGCTTTTGAACCGGCTTTGGAGTTTCTTCTTCGGGTCGAAGCCCCATCTCCCACAAGGCCGCAGGACCGGAACCCGCACCGACCGAAAGCCATTCGTTGCGTGTGCACTTGAACTGCATGTTGTAGATGCTTGTGCATCCATACATGTCTACACAAAGAAATATAATATCTACGCACATATATGGAAGGTACGATATTTATATCTATGCACCTATTTGCTTACAAGTGTTGTTGCAGGTTCAGCGGCTCAGGGTAGTCATTCTTTGGTTTAGGGTTTAGGGTTTAGGGTTTAGGGTTTAGAGTTTAGGGTTTAGGGTTTAGGGTTTAGGGTTTAGGGTTCAGGGTTTAGGGTTTAGGGTTTAGGGGTTTAGGGGTTTAGGGGTTTAGGGGTTTAAGGGGTTTAGGGTTTTGGGGTTTAGGGGTTTAGGGTTCAACAGGCTTTAGGCCGCATGAAGCTTGGAGAATTCGGGCCCTGAGCTCTACCGTAGGCGTTTCTTGGCGAAGGGTCTAGAGTTCCACGCGCTGGCTCGCAAACTGCTTTGGCCTCGCCCATGCCGCTGAGACCTCCAAAGGGGTGTTGAAGTCAGGGCTGAGGGTCAAGGGTTTGGGGACGGGCCGGGGGTGTTTTTCCTTATTTTTCCCGTTGTTTTTTTCGTATACTTTTTTCACTTTGTTTGGTTGGGTTTAGGGTTTAGGGTTTAAAGTTTAGGGCTAAGGGTTAAGGGTTAAGGGTTAAGCGTTAAGGGTTAAGGGCTTAGGGTTTTGGGTTGCTTGGCTTGCTTGCTTGCTTGCTTGCTTGCTTGCTAGGCCACACGGCCGGAAAAAAAATAAGGAAAAGCACGGAAAAAAGAAGGAGCTCTGCAAGCCTAAGCTGAGGTTCCCCAGTAGCATAGGACAAAATGATTTTAGGGTTTAGGGTTTTGGGTTTAGGGTTTTGGGAACACAAGGGATAACGGGGCGGTCCCTTCCTTGATGGCAGCTGCCTGTCGAATGTCTGGCCTACCTACTACAAACTGGAGCTTCGACCACCCTGCCCACACACTGAAGTTTCCTTTGAAGCATGGCCCGGCTCTGAGGGTCTTAATGAAGGTAGGAACCCAATCTTGCTACACCCCCCAACCCATGGGACCCTGCCTAGACCCCCTCCCCCCTTTTCCCTCTACGCCCTACACCCGGAGCCTGCGCAAGCCATAGCTGGATCCCTACGTGAAGGTGCATGACTAGCTAGTATTGTCGATGCCTCAATGAAGGCTTCCGGTTCGAGAGTTTGGGGTTCCGCAGGCTTGGGTTTGGGCCTTTGAAGCTGAAATTCGGGGTGTGGGGGCTGCTATACCTGCAGACCCGCTCCAGTCTTAGAAACATTGACGGCCCACATCCCCGTTCCCACAAGAGGGCCTTTGACTAGCGACGAGACGAAGGACAGGATGGGTACGATGACCATCTCCTGAGGCTGTTATGGCATAGGCTCTAAAGGGTGGTCTCAAGGAGCTGTATCCTACACCCCCCTCTCCCCCCGCCCTCCCCCAAAGGTCCCTGGACTCTACATCTAACAAACCCAGAACCTGACACCCTAACCTAGACCATAGACTATGCCAGAGACCCTAATAGACCCTAACCCTCAGCCCTCAAGCCTGAAAACCCTGTTTGGCTTTTAAGAAAAAAGAAATTAAATACACAAGCCATAAACCCGAAGAACCCTAAAGCCTACAAGCTCTAAATCAACACCTTTGTTGAAAGCGGGGGCACGGCTTGGGCTTTCCTATTCGAAGGCCCGAAAACAGAGGTTGCAGAGCAAAACGATGCAGACACACACACACACACACACTATCACACACGCACACACACAAATAAGGAGAGAGTCTACATCGTTGCGCATCATTGCCTATATGATCCCTAACTACCGACAGCAAAGCTTCAGATCCGTCATTCCTGTTGTGTTCATTGGACTTTTCCCGCTTCGCCCGTCTGTTGCAACATGAGCTGCCAGAGGTACCTCAATTTCCTCGAGGATTTCGAAGCCCATCAAAGAAGGATTCTGCGGTTCAGAGTTTAGGCCAACGTTTAAGGGTGGTTTAGCGTTTCCGGAAAATGGGATTACAATGAGGAATATCGCGTGTTGAGATCACCCTGAAAAAAAACATCAAGCTCTCAGGTCTATACCGACACTCTGCCTCACAAGGGTGACAAGAGGGCTGTCGTGGAACATCTACCCAAAGCATGTGGGTGGCGTTCACCTCCCGAAACCCTAACCCTGAACCCTACTACACCCTAAACCCCCCCCCAATGAAGACCCTAAACCCTAAGGACGCCGCACCCGCACTCTGAATCCTAAACCCTAAACCCTAAACCCTAAACCCTAAACCCTAAACCCTAAACCCTAAACCCTAAAGCCTAAAGCCCTAAAGCGCCATGCTAAAGTTGGGGTTTCGGGTTCGGAGTACAGACGCCGCAATCCTCAGGGTTACAGACGGGGCACGATGCCGGGGCACGATGCTCCTAAACTCTGGGCTGCGATGTCGACCCTTAAGGGACCTAGCCCTCAGCAAGCCTACGGCATCCCTATAGACCTTATAATGACCTTAAACTGCTAAATTGTAAACCCTAAATCCTAAACCCTAAACCCCCAAACCCTCAAATCCTAAACCCTCAGATCCTAAACCCTCAAACCCTAAAACCCTAAAGCCCTAAAACCCTAAACGCCCTAACCCTAAGCCCTCAAAATCCCTCAGAGCATGTGCAGCCCAGCTGCGCGCCGGGCGAAGTCGAGGCAGACGGTCGGCCATGTTGCCGATTCCATGGGCTGCTGCTCTAGGTTTCAGGCTGCTGAAATCAGAGGGTTCCCCTAAACCCTAAACCCTAAACCCTAAACCCTAAACCCTACACCCTAAACCCTAAACCCTGAACCCTAAACCCTAAACCCTAAACTTTAAGGGGTAGCCCCCAAGAATCTCAGATCAGAGGCTGCCGTCCAAGGTACCTAGAAGCCCCACGTCTTGCACCAAGACCTCTCGTTACACGATCCTCGAACTGTCCACGAGTATAGCCGCTTTTTGGGTGTAGCACCAGGCTCACCAAGAGAAGGAACAACCTCCCTGCTGGGCCAGTTACCAAAAAGACATCCCACAATTCTGAACCAACACCAAACCCCGAAAATTCAACATAGCTGAAAGGGAGATGTGTTTCGTGGTCTTGCAAGAAGTCTGGTGTAGGGCCAGGGTCGAGGTTGGGGGGCGTGGCGCTGACCAGACCTGCATGGACCGAAATCTGGCGACGGGACCCGCAATTCAGTTCCAAGAATCGTCTACCCCGGCGCTTCCCAAAAGCGCGCTTTGCAAAGGGCTTTGAGGGGTTTTGAGGCTCGAGGCGGGGAAACAAGGGGGGGAGGGGAGGGGAGGTTTACAGCCGAGACCCTCGCCCTAACCAGCTTCCTTTCGAGACTTTACAACACCATCTCGAATTGTCCTCAGGATCTTAAATTCCAAAAGCACTAAACAGCGAATTTAGAGTCGAAGTCAAGCTCCATGATCTTGGAATGCGGGCCTACCCCATACTCACCCTCAACCCTAAACGAAAAAACTCGGAAACTGGCACAGCCCAGGGCCCGTTATCGTGAACTCTTCTAAGCGATGTTACGCGAGCTCAGCGTGCAGGAATTTGGGCTGAAGGTTTAGAGCTCAAGGGTCAGATTAAGATGTTGGCTTTAGGGTGAGTGAGTGAGTGAGTGAGTGAGTGAGTGGACGGCCTGGGGTGCACTCCGGCCAACGGAAACGTTCCCTCCCGCCATCTCTTCCCCCCTCCGCTTGCGTCATTGGAGAGATCCGGCAAGAGTTTGACGCTCCGAGCCCCTCAATCCGAGCTGGGAAAAACGCCACCCGAACCTCCATGGGCCCGCCCCCCCAAGCCGGGCGGCTTGGGTTGGATTTGGGCACTTAGGCAAGACAGCCCACTTCACAGGAACAGAAACTCTTCCCCTTGCGATCCCTCACAAAGGTACTAAGCTGGGGGCATTGGCTCGGAGACAGGGCTGGGGCGCGGGGTGGTCGTACCAAACACGCACACACGCACCGGCAGCAAGACTAAGGGAAAAAGCAAGTTCAGCTAATCCCCTTTTGGCTGCACAAACTCCCACAGTATCCCCTTGGCATGCGGGGCAATGCCTGCACTCAAGGCACCGCCCCCGACCAGAAGGGGGTGTTGGCTTTAGGGTTACAGACTATACGGCCCACATGCCCCTCAAAATGACTTGCGTCCGGGCCTCAATCACCTTTCCCTGGACCTCAGAGAGGTCATCGCCCCACACGGTTTAGGGTTGAGGGTTGAGGGTTTAGGGTTTAGGGTTTAGGGTTTGGAGGGATTCGGGATTCTTGAGAGGGTTCACGGGTAGGTGGGGGGGGGCAAAAGTTCTGCCAGGACAAACTCAGGCCCATGATGACGACCACAACATCGGAACCCGATTCCGGTCATTAGACTGTGGGGCTACCCATCTGTATAGATGCCTAAACCCTAAACCCTAAACCCGAAACCCGAAACCCGAAACCCTAAACCCTAAACCTAAACCCGAAACCCTCAAGGACCATCCCTTCGAGGTATAAGCTACAAGGGCCCTGCGGGTTGAGAGCTTACAGCGCACCAAGGCTCCCAGAGGTCTCAAGGTCTAACAGAATAAGCCTGGCCCTTGCGGGGTTTAGGGGTTTAGGAGTTTCGGGTTTAGGGTTTAGGGTTTAGGGTTTAGGGTTTTGGGTAACCCTAAAGCCTTCCAGACACCCTACATGCCGTCTGGCATCCTAGATGGAAGGGGGGGGGGGGGGGCTTCCTCAATTCGTCCTTCTGGGCCTTCCTCCTACAGTCGGAGCCTTCAAGCTACGTTACCTCAAAAAAGGGTTTGGGGTGTAGGGTTTAGGGCTCAGGGCCTTTGTAGAGTTTAGGTACCATCATGCAGAGAACTGATATTCCAGCAGCCAGAGTGCAGCTGTCCGACTTACCCTTAAGGTGCGCGGATTGAAAATCAAGAGGTCTCTGACTTGAGGGTTTGGGGGGTTTAGGGGGTTTAGGGGGTTCAGGGGGGTTTAGGGGGTTTGGGCGGTTTAGGGGGTTTAGGGTGTTTTGGGTGTTTTTGGGGTTTAGGGGATTTAGGGTGTTTTGGGGGATTTGGGGGTTTGGGGGGTCTAGGGGGTTTGGGCATGCTAGCCTGCTGAACCGGTGGTCGTCGGACGTGCAAAGCTGTCATGGCTTCGCCCCATCCATTCACATTCAACAAAGTCGCCCCATGCTTCCATGCAGTGACCTGAACCATTTGCATGTGAGGCTGCTTCATGCATGGTTCACCAGCTTCATGAAACCTGAAACCTTGCAAACCCTCGACCCTGAAACTCTCAACTCTCAACCAGGGCCGAAATTTTCCCCATGCGCCTCTAAGGGAACTTTCGCGTAAGCATACCCTTGAAATAGAAGCCCAAAATGGCCTTAAGCCCTTTTCTGCAGGTGCAGCCAAAGCGCGCCCTTGGGCACCGTGATGGTGAGGAAGCCTTCTCCAGGTATGCACAAAGGCATTTTGGGGTTTAGGGTTGGGCTTATGGTGTTTCAGGGGGCTTGTGGGTCTTTTGGGGGGTATGGTGGTGGTCCAGGGAATTCGATCTGTAAAGCTGTTGTGGGAATTTGGTTGCCCTAAACCCTAAACCCTAAACCCTAAACCCTAAACCCTAAACCCTAAACCCTCAACCCTCAACCCTAAACCCAAACCCCAAACCCCAAACCCCAAACCCTAAACCCCAAACCCTAACCCCTAAACCCCAACCCTGGACCGCGCCTCCGTTGGGCCCGGCGAAGCCGAAGGTACGGTCCACTGAGGAGTCGGAGGTGAACTTTGCCTTCAGGACCCAGTGCATGCCTCGGGCAGGGTTCAGTGTTTGGGGTTTAGGGTTTAGGGTTTAGGGTGCGGGGCGTAGGGTTTTAGGGTTTTAGGGTTTTAGGGCTTTAGGGTTTTAGGGTTTTGGGGTTTTAGGGGTTTTAGGGTTTTAGGGTTTTGGGGTTTTAGGGGTTTTAGGGGTTTTAGGGTTTTAGGGCTCGGGGTGCAGGGTTTAACCGTTCAACCCTATAGCCCGAAGTGTTTCGGGTTTAGGGTTTAGGGTTTAGGGTTCTAATGAAAATGGCCAAGAATGTCCACGGGAACCTAAACCCTCAACCCACATCCAAGCTACTGGGTTTCGAGGGCTTTTGAGCTTGCCGTCAGCAAACCCTAAACCCTAAACCCTAAACCCTAAACCCTAAACCCTAAACCCTAAACCCTAAACCCCAGGGGTTCGTGCGTTCACCGTGGGGTGGCTTGAAAGGTAGCTGCCCATCCTATCCGTGCGTCTAGGCTAACCCTAAGTCCAAACTTCCCCGCTGTGCAGACCGCTGAGCCGTGGGCCAATCTTCCACTCCTCGCCAAGGGTTGTTTGCTGTTAGTTCCATGTTGTTGTGTGCGAGGTCGTCTGAACCCCTTCACCCCATAACCCCCAAACACTGCAAGCTAGGCAAGTAGACAGACTACTTGGCGGGCAACTCGCAGCAACTGCTTCAAAAACCTCTGTGATATATATATATATATACATGTATATGTAATGTATATATATATATATATATATATATGGTCAGCCCCCCCCCCATGATCCACACATATGGTTTTCCTGTCTTCGTCTTTGTCTGATTTTCTGTTTTTTCACCGGAAAAATGCAGTAAAAACTGCACTGGAATACAAAAATCTCTATTATATTATCCTCTATAAAAACACTAGTGTTTTTTTATGTGCATGTTGCTTCTGAAACTTGTGTTTTGCGGCTCTATAAAATTTTAGAAGGGTAGCCATTTAGAAGCTTAAGGCTTTTCAGGGGTTTAGGTTTTAGGGGTTTGTAAAAATTTAGATGATCTGTGGAAGGCACCGGGGCTTCCCCAGACCATTTGCAATTTTAAAAAATTTAAGGTCTTTAAAAGGCTTTTACGGCTTTTCACCTTCATTTTCCTAAGAATGCTTAAACAGAAGCATAAAGATTTTTATAAGATTTTAAGGATTTTTAATGTTTAGGTGGGTCTGGGGAAGCCCCAGTGCCTTCCCCAGATCATGTAAACTTGCAAAAACCCTCAAACCCCTTAACCCTAAAATCCAACCCCGAAACCCTTAGCTCTAAACCCTAAACACTCAGCACCAGACCCAAAACACTCCAGATTTTTTCTGGAAATCTGGAGTCTGGAGTCCGGGGCCCGGGTACTCCAGATTTTTCTGGAAATCTGGAGTCTGGAGTCCCCCCCCCTCCCAAAACCCCCTTCCCGAGGCCAAATGTGTGGATCATGGGGGGGGGGGGCGAGCATATATATATATATATATATATATATATATATATACGATATATACGATATATATATATATATATACATGTACCACCCAATATCTATAAGGAGCCAGATATACCGTCACCGACAGCAACAAAATCTACCTCATTGAGCTATAAGGCTTAAATTGCGCAATCTGAGCATGCAGCCGTAGACGCGCAACACCCTGCAGGCCCCGAAGCCCAGTTACGGGGCCCGGGTGTCTACAGCTTAGGGCCTTAGGTCTTAGTTCTGACGAATTTAGGGTTCAAGCTCAGGACTCAGGGTGCGAGGTCCCTGGACGGAAGTACCATCGCCACCCTCCCTCCCTCCCCCCCCCCCGCCCTCCACCCTCAAGCTTCAAATCCTAGCGATCCGTAGGCCCAAGCCCTCAATCAACAAGTGCTCAGAAACCACGGGTTTAGGAGAGCTTTCTGCTGGGATGTTCCC